TGGTTTAAAAAAATAAAAGGGAACGCCCCGAACCCCGACCGCTGACGAGCCAAATATTTGAAGATAAGAAGTAAAACTCCCATCTCAGGAAGCCATGGAACGGAAGATTCATGATACAATGTGAATATTGTGATGAGTGGTTTCATGGATCATGCGTCAACATCACCTCTACAGATGCCCTTGACATTGACCGATATAAATGCCGATCATGTAAGGACAATAACGTTAGACTGAGATGAGGGTGAGCGTTGTAACTTTGTTATTCTTTTTGTATTTTTCAGTTATGGCACAGAAAATGAATACAGAGGATTTTGAGGTTATCGTCCTGAAATACCTGGAGCAAGGACGCATATACACACCAGCCAGGGAATTTATTAATAAGATTAGTTTGAGATTCCCTGGCGTTCAAGATACTGAAAAACGTCAGAAACTGATATTGGATATGGTTAATCTGGTGAAGACCAGATTAGCAACGTATAGAAACAAGAAAACCTGGAGAGCTTGGTTACAGGAAGCAGCAATCCAGTTGGACTCAGCTCAAATAGCCCACAGGGATTGGATCTCCAGCAATATCTGGATTCTCAAGGATAAGCCAGTAAGGAAGCCAGATCCTCCAAGTCCAAGGGAGGATGATATTTCGGATGATATCTTGGCATTGTCGGCTGGAGAGGAAGAAGTGGCGGCTCTTCTAGAGTCCCCTTCTAGTTCACCGAAGGTACCGATGGAAGTGTCGATTCTTCTAGAATCCCCTTCTAAGGTGTCCGTGGAAGTTGATCCAGATATTGTTGTGAGCAGTCCTAGAAGATCACCAAGGAAGGCCACAAAAAAGAGTCTTATTCAGGAACCTTCTAGGAATACAGGAAATCCAAAACCCATGGATAGAGCTGAATCCTCAGGGAGACGGGAGAAACGGGCTTCTAGTCCGTCTTCCAGGCATGCTTCACATCAAGAGCGTAAGAAGGCAAAACTTCCTGTGGCTTCTAGTCCAGAAGTTCTTCATTCGCAACCCGCACAACCTACCAGATTGTCTGTTACTTTCGGACGAGCGGGTGGAGAACGTAGTGTCGCTATGGGGAGGGGTATGACCATAGATTACCCCAAACCACTTCATCAAGAAAGGCGTGCGGCTCCTCCACCTGCTACAAGCTGGAAGAAACAGAGGACAGAAGATACATTGCTCAAAGTCAGGAAAGCGACAGAAGAGAAAAGATCTACAGGGAAAAGGCGGCCTAACAAAAGGATGAACGTTAAATGCTGGGTGCCAAACTGTTTGGAACCAGCCCAGTATATAAAGGTTCATGCCTTTAAGCATCATGTCCCTGGGATCTTCGATGAAAGGCTACAACCTGACGATGAGTGGGTATTGCGGGGAAGAAGGAACGCTCTAATCCAAGCAGCCAGGTGGCTTTTGGTAAAACCAGCAGCATCCCTTGATGAGTTGATGTCATTTGTTAGGATTCAGAAACTGTTATTATCAACAGGAGATACAGTGGTGTCATCAACTCAGATGGAAGCTATGCAGGCTTTCTGTGGGTTTCTTAAGTCACCCATTCCGAAGGAATTTATTTTGGAGCCCATCAACTCACCAGGTGCTCTAATCCATTGGAAGGTACTTCTTTTAGTCGCAGCAAGTTTAAATGCTGAAGAAAGGGAGTACTGGAAGACTAGCTTTCCTATTCCAGAGGGCATGGTGATTGATGAGCCTGAAGAGGAACCCGCTGAAATATTACCAGAAGCCTATGACAGTCATTTCCACCTGGACAGGACTTTGCGAGAACTGAATCTTCCTTCATCAGGTACATTAGAAGATATTCTAGCAAAGGTTCCTGTTGATCATGACAAAAGGATCAAGTTGGTAGGATAAGTTGCCGTCTTCTGTGATCCAAGGACGTATCCTTCTGAGCGGAGCCTTCTAGGCCTGCCAGGGGATATGAAAGTTGCTGTCGGTTTCCATCCAAGACATGCTAAGCAAGGACATCGGGAAAGACAAGAGGGTCTTGAACGTCTGTTCAACCTCCTACAGCTCCAAAGAGTGACAGTTCTTGGAGAAATTGGACTGGATCATACAGAGCCAATGAAGTATTGGCACTATCAGGTGGAATTGATTGAAGCGATACTGCCCAAGTTGGAAGAACGACATGTACTGGTTATTCATTGTCGTGGAATAGAGTGTGACTGTGGTACAGAAGCATATTTACTTCTTCTACATGTTCTAAAGAAGTACGTTAGATCACGTCACCCTATACATCTACATTGTTTCACCTGCATGTGATTTTAGACCGGCTATAAGTAAACTCGTATCATCTGAATGGAAAGCAAACTGGGACAATGCCGTTTTTAATAAACTTCGCGATATAAACCCATCTCTTGATGTGTCACCATCTCTATCTCTGTCGAACCGCCGTGATCAAACAGTTCTTCTTCGATGCCGAATTGGACACACTAAAATTACCCACTCTTATCTCCTTACAAATGACAATGCCCCTTTTTCTGTGTAGGTTGTAATGGAAATTTTACTGTCAAGCATTTTTCTTCTTGAATGTCAAAATGATTTTTTCACAGGCCCGTAATAGATTTTTATTCTGTAAATTCACTCAAAGAACATTTTAATACAATTCCATCAAAAAAACATAATTGATTATTTGAAAGAGAGATAAACTTGTATTCTAGGATCTAATTGGTTCATCTCTATTGTCATTAACAAAGTTTTACATAACATTTTAAGCCTTTAATAGCATTCGGCACGATATGGCCAGTTATGTGTTGACGTGCCGTAAAAAGCCAAACAAACAAACAAAAAAGTTTCACAGGTGACCAGTCTGTGCTCAAGAAATGGTTGGAGACATTTCCAAGGACGTACTTTGGCTTCACTAGTCTGGTGGATTCCTTTAATCGTGACCAGATAGCAGCGCTCCGAGAAATTGAAGAGTCTCGTCTGCTTCTTGAGTCCGATGCACCATATTTTCCCGGTAGGGGATCCAGAGTATGCGTCGCCTGGACAAAACTGTATAGAGCTGCAAAATGCAGTGGCTCACCGTCTTCAAAACCTCGCCCCTGAAAGGATTCTGGAGATCACAGTCGCAAACGCCCTGTGTCTCTATGAAGGGGCAGTATCAGTAAAAACCAGCAGGAAACTGGTCGAACTTCTAGTTCACCAGTCTAAAGTTGATAATTCATCCAAGTAAAGTGCTGGTTGGTTTCCTAGTTTTTCAGTAAAAGCGTCATTGTTATATTCAGTTGAAACTTCTAGTTCATCTGAGAAATGATCCAGATTGCTCCAGGTATACCACAACAGAAATAACCTCAATACAGATCAAGATTCCAGTGTTTTCTTTGATCGAGTATCAAGGTAGATTTCTCATGCCAAGGAGATCTTCTCCAATACATTCAGGCTGGTGGTTGTGAAAAATGAAGTTCCAGTTGGCTTCTAGCCTTTGAGAAGCTTTACAGCAACGCCAGTGTACCCAAATGGACTTCTAGTCCTTCCCCTATACAGCCTACTTATTTTTAGGGTAAAGTTAAAAAGCGCGATGTGATATTAAAATTCACAATTAAGGAAGTAAACGAGCTTCTAGTTCTTTACCCGATGCATTCACAGCATTACTCCAAGATCCGAAGCCTTCATTCATAAAGTTGGGGGGAGTGTTGTGAATGCAGGAAATGATTTAGTGGTCCTAGACCTGCCGGACTGCATGCGCATGCGCGACGGTTTTCGCGGGACTGGAAAGTGCCCGGATAGTTCTAGGATAGAGAGAATTGAGTTCTGCGTTGGCTGGCGAAGTGTCAAGATCAAGAGCAAGCTTTGGTAAGCTCCCGGCCTGTTTTCCCTTCTTTAGGCTATGATTTAAGGAAATACAACATTGTTATTCAATTTCGTCTCTAAGAAAACCAATGAATTTTCATCGTCTTTAGACTTAGCAGATGACTTACCCCTCGACGATTTTTTTCTTTTTCGTACTATTTTTAGACGAAATTTCCGAATCAGTTTCGGATAATTTCTCTTTTTCCTGAACTAACACGGCTTCTGCCATATTAAACTTATAAAATAAAACAAATAAATCCTCAAAACAGTTCACTAAAAAGATAATAAAAGAGAACATAAAACACGTGTCCGACTGCAATGGCGCAGAAAATTTAACTGAGGTTAATAGCGTCTTGTGATACTGATTTCCTGTTTGATCATGATCATCTAGACGCTCATTAAGTTTTGCGTGTTACTGTAATGGTTGAGGAGAACTAAATCCTAATGTATTTTCCGTATGGTAAGTTAACAACGGAACGAAATGAAATATACATATCGTATGTTTTTGTGTACACTTTGTCCGATTTTGTTACAATTTCCAGCTTGTCATCTATCAATATTCATTGTTAAAAATAATTCTCAATTAAGATAATTGCTGTTGTTGAATGCCAGTAAAGTAGTGGTGGTCTTTTACCAATTAACTGACTATTTCAAAGTTTTTATGTTGCTGGGTAAAATGTATTTTTGACGACTTTGTTTTAGCAAATCACAGTAACCTTGATTTGTTTGTTTATTTTCTTGATCGTGATAAAACTTTGTATGGATTGTTTGATAGGAATGAATTTTGCCTTTTTAAGGGCGATTATCATTAACACTCTCCTTCAAAATGAGGAGAGAATCTAGACTATCGTGATTTTTCTATCTTAACGCAAAGCGAGTACATACTAAAAAATCGGAGTAACATTTCAGTATTCCATTAAATCAACTAGACTCTTAATTCTGTTTTACTCAAAACCAGTATGGGTTATTTACAATTAAGGAGGTTTTAGTCTTGATTTTAGCATTTGGAGAATTATCATTTGAGAAGAAATTCAATTACCAAGCTGTTTATAATTGTCATATGTATTTTATAAAACTATTTGTCTTCAAATTGTATTCTTTTGACTATTGGTTAGTACACCACGTTCTTGCTTCGCCCTAGTCCCATTTACCTGCCAGATGACGTGCCGGTAGTCTTGTGTGGCTACATGCTACTGGGATCTGCGTTGTGTGGGTGTCGTGCTTTCTTGTTCATTTTTTTTTACATATTGCTTATAATGATTTTCTATCAAATTATTTCGTGCGTTAATTACAATAGTTCTGAAGTCAAACCATTTAACTGTTAAGTATATCAAGTGCTTAGCCTTATCGGCATAGATGTTTTTGAATATTCACGATTAGAATTTGTATGCATACCTACTACTAGGAAGATACTTGTTCTGTTTGTATCTAACTTCATACAACAGCTATAGATGATTGTTATTAACAGACAATTTATTTAACAATGATTGTTTTACTCAGATGAACATAAGCTTCAATCCATTTAGTATTCTTATGTTAACAATAATAGTGTTCGGCGCGGTATGACCAGTTATGTGTATATGTGCTGTTGAAGCACAAACAAACAAACAAACGAACAAACAAACAATCATATATTACAATATATCAATCAATAAATGTCAGCGCGGTATGGCCAGTTATGTGTCTATGTGCCATTTAAACCCAAAACAAACAAATAAGAAACCATCGTTTATTACAATTAATCAATCAATAAATGTTATGTTGTTGTTTATGAGAGCATCTGCCGGAAAATTATTCATTGTGATATAATTGACAAAATAACACATACAATTTAATACTTTTTAAAATAATCAAACAGTTCTTCTTCCATGCCGAATTGGACACACTAAAGTTACCCACTCTTATCTCCTCACGAATGACAATGCCCCTTTCTGTGTAGCTTGCAATGAAAATTTTACTGTCAAGCATTTTTTTCTGGAATGTCATGATTTTTCACAGACCCGTAATAGATTTTATAATGTAAATTCACTCAAAGAACTCTTTAATACAATTCCATCAAAAAACATCATCGATTATTTGAAAGAGATAAACTAGTATTTAAGGATCTAATTGGCTCTTTTTTGTTGTCATTTGCAGAATTTTACATAATATTTTAAGCCTATTTTAGCATTCGGCACGATATGGCCATTTATGTGTTGACGTAAAATCCAAACACACAAAATAATTTACCAGATAAATTAATTGTTGGAATCTAATTTGAAATGGAAACATATGTTTTGTTCTGTTTTACGTCATCATTTTATTCTGTCTTATTCCACATGAACATACATTAAGCTTCAATTTGAAAGCGTTATTCACTGGAATTGTGTTGTAGTGCCGTAAAACCAATTCCACCTGGCTATAAATTTTATTATAAGGAAAGTATTTCATGACATCATGACAGGCCAAAATTAACAATAAGTAATAAAGTAAAACACTTTATTTATGTTACTTCAGATGCAAAAAATATGATAAACAAGATGACTAAGGATTAAGGGCGTATTCAATTTTGAACGAGCCCCACGACCCAGCAACATAGCCACAGCGCAAGGAGCCAGGAGGACCCAAAGAAAATAGAGATCGAGCATAATAAAAATA